CCAATGTAGTCCCGTTGTTGCCTCTACAAAGCTGCCTTGAACCCCTAGATAAAATGACTAGCTTCCTTCTCTGAGTATTGTTTATACATTGTGTCCTTTTTAACCTCCTATAATGATCATGGTCTGGTTGTGTCTGTCAGCTGTCATAAACCCACTGGTGACAGCATGGTTCTGAAAAAGTCTGTAAGTTTTTGCGTCATTAAAGTCCTTGGCTCTAATCCTAGGTCCACCAATTACTGGCTGGGAATTCAACAAATTATTTTTAAAACCCTAAATGTCAGTTTCTTTATCTGTAAAATAGAGGTAAAAATATCTACTTCGTAGGGTTACTATGATTTGTGTACAGTAACTAGCAAATTGCCTGGGTTGTAAGAGGTATTCTGTAAATTTGAGTTCCTTCTTTTATTTATGTTTTGTCTTTGGCACTCATCTCAGTGAAGATATAGTAGGAATTAATAAATGTAAGTTGAATTGAATATCAAACTATAATATACTATTATATCTAGTAAAATATTGTTTGAACTTTAGTTTTTTTTTAAAGAAGCAAAGTTGTTGCTGCTTAAATAGTCTAAAGGTCCTCTTTTCTTTTAGTCTATACTACAATAGGGATCTGCTGGAAGAATAAATCAGATTGGTTCCATAAAATCATATAATTATTTTGTCTTAATTTATCGAGAGACTTTTAATGACTCGTCTTAAAAGTTTTTATTTTACTCTAAACCAATATGCACATATGTAAGTAAGCATTATTCACCGTCTTGGATTTGATATTTGGATTTTTAAGAAAAAGATCAGTATATCCATGTACATCTCCAAAGTATTTATGTAGGTACTTGTAATTACTTTAAAAATCCTCTTTGTATGTATTTAATTTGTAAGTATTATTATAGTTATTCACTGTGAAGAATTTGGAGTTACTTATACCAATTTCTACAAAATGAATGTCCCATAATTCCAGTATTCTATCTTATATGACCAAGTACTCATTTAGGTCTGTATAGAGATCACTAAGAAATCATAGGCAGGAACTGCTGAATTTTTAAATAGTATTTAGTAAATAATGACAAATGTTGATATAAATGTACTATAAAATCTTTATGTCTAAGAAAAATAATATTAAACAACTAATATTAAAAATTTTGGTGGCTAAAAAACATTTCCGGAGATGGATCTATTGCATTGATAATTAGCATAATATTTGAATTGCAAAAAACTCTTCAGTTTAATGAGTACGGTCCTTTTTCACTTAAGTGTCCTATAAAAACCTAAAGGTTTTTAAGCTAAATGATTTCTCTTTAGAATTCTGTTTAGAAAATACTCGGAGCATAAAGTTTTGAATTATATATCATTGTAAAGTCTGATTTTTCAAAAAAGTTAACCCTTTAAAAAATTAAGTCTCCAAGACTTAAAGTCATTGTTATTCTACTTTAACTTTGCTGATGAGTGGAAATCTTTTAATCAAGACTATTACAAATGGGCCTTTACATCTCTCACTGTCATTAACATACTAAAAGGTACACACTTGTTAAATTCTTCTCAGAGCCTTGTATGTCCATTAAAAAAAGATGCGATTCTATAAGAAGGACCAAAAGGTTACCTTAGCATAGATAAACTTTCATTAGTGTAATATCTTAATTTTAATCCTATAATATTGTGGTCTTTGATATTCACTAATATTGTAAATGGGCTTTTTTCCCAATAATTTCTTTTCTTCTTTTAAAAAAATTATTTAATTTTTTTCTTTTTTACTTTTTTGTTTATTTCTCCTGGAGTCTTCTAAGAACCAATAAATTTTTAAAAGAGTTTATTAAGGTATAATTCACGTATAATAAACAGCACATATTTAAAGGACACAATTTAAAAAATATTGACATACGTATACATCTGTGAAACTATCACCACAACCAATATAATGAACATTTCCATCACCCCCAAAAGTTTCCATGTGCCCTTTTTTCATCTCTTACTGCCAAACCTGCCCTTCCTTCCCCAGGCAACCACTGATTTGCTTTCTGTTGTTATTATAGGTTAGTTTGCATGTTTTAGAGTTGTTTCTTTTTTTTTAACCATCACAAATAGGACTTTGTATTTGTCATTATCCAAAGTCTGAATTTTAAACAGATTCTTGGACTGGTGGTTCATATCCATCAGCTCATTCAACTTTAGCACCCGTCTCATTCCCAGTAGCTTTTCCGGAACTGCTACCTCTACCATGAAGCTCCATGAGTTTTCTCAATTAAGACGTGGGCTTCTTCAGAATTTTTACTTTTCTCACAAAGACATCATGGAGAGGATAAATAGGTTGGCAAGCCTTTTCTATGTCTTTTCCAATACTGTCTGGAATCAATTTACTGACCACTTCTCCCCAGTCATTCTTCTGCACCTCTTGGGTCATGATTTCCATCATCTTCTTCCAGATTTGGTGGACCTGTTAGTGCTGAGTGTAAGAGGTCTTCTGTATCTGACTGTTGCATTTTTTAGTAAAACCAACACAGATAAAGCAAATAACCGTTGGCAGTCTTGACATCAACATACACTTCAATCACGGTCTGCAATTTTTTGACCACGGAACACATTTTGTCACAGGTAAGATCCATGCCATGAAGTTAGTCAGGCAGGCGGTTTTTGCCCTGAACATCTTCAGTAATCAGCTTGAGTTTTCTAAATGCAACCTCATCATTCTGCAAAAATTAGCAAGACTCACTTCAAATACATGAACTTGAGGCCATCAGATGCAATTTTGGTTTCTTGAGTGCTGGTGACTAGTGTTTTTCCAATGTTTTTTATATGGAACGTAGCAGGTGATTTCATGCCACACCAATCTTTCTTAGAAAATGGATCAGCCATTTTCTTCTTGGCTCCCTTTTTGCTGCCCTTTGTAAGGTGCTTGTCAACCGCCATGGTGCTGCTCAGAGAGTCAAAAGGGCTCCAGAGTTTTATATAAATGGAAGCATGCAGTATATAATCATTTTATTGGTGTGGGTTCTTTTACTCTACATAATTATTTTAAGATTCATCTATTTTGTTGTGTGTATGAATAGTTTATCTTTTTTATTGCTGAGTAGTATTTCATTGTACAGATAAGCCACAATTTATTTATCCATACACCTAATGATGGACATTGTTAGGTGACATTATTGGATTGCTTCCAGTTTTCAGCTATTAAAAATAAAGCTGAAGTTTTAGCTATTATGAATAAAGCTGCTGTAAACATTGAATGTGTTTTAAAAATTATCTTATTTTCAATTTTTACCACTTTCTGGCAATCATGGCTGTCAACTCTTAATCATACGGCAGTGTTTTTACGCACCTTCCCTAACAACGTGGTAATTAGGAAGGCTATGAAAATACTTTCTTTTTTTTGGAGACAAAGTCTCACTCTGTTGTCCAGAGTAGAGTGCAGTGGCGCAGCCTAGCTCACAGCAACTTCAAACTCCTGGGCTCAAGCGATCCTCCTGCCTCAACCTCTTGAGTAGCTAGGACTACAGGCATGCACCACACCATGCCTGACTAATTTTTTCTATATATTTTCAGTTGTCCAGATAATTTCTTTCTATTTTTTAGTAGAGACGGGGTCTCACTCTTGCTCAGGCTGGTCTTGAACTCCTGACCTCGAGCGATCCTCCCACCTGGGCCTCCCAGAGTGCTAGGATTGCAGGTGTGAGCCACTGCGCTGGGCGGAAAATGCTTACTTTTAAACCCATTTCCTGCACTTTAACCATCTTACTCAATAGAGGTATTGCATATAGGAAAGAAAAGTTCTCATTTTGAATTTTAAAATCCAAACAGCCTGGCCAGTGTTATCTTACCTTTTGTGATATCCTTAAATAAAAATTTTAAATGTAACTGAATTGAAACCTCTAGTCCTTAATTAACCAAAGCGCTTATGCAAATAGTTTCCTTACTGTAATGATGTTGTGATGAATATTTTTCTAAAGAGAATAAATGTTTCCTAATGACCATATTTTATTTCCATAAGTAAATGTGGCATTCGAAGTCTTACCTTAGTTACAAATGTTCTCTAAATAAGAAAACATAGAAAAGATACCATAATGCCATACTTAAAAAAAAAATAATTGAGACACACAATCTAATTTGTGTTTTTTATTATTGAAAAACCTTTTTACTGTTCCTATTTTTATAATTAAAAAAAATCTCATGGCTTTATAGAGTGACTTTTAAAAGGAATGTTTTATATGTAATAAAATTTCAACCTTTTGAAAACATTTTCTAAGTAGTCTCCAGTTTTAAAGGAAAATATGTAAAGCTTAAAATATGTTGCCCTGTTCCACTTGTTTGTTCCTGACAATAGGCATGTTTATGTGTATGTATATGTGTGTGAACATATATACACTGTGACACATACATATATTTAAAACATCTTTCTATGGTGATAAATACTACCTGTTTGTGATATAATAATATTACATTTATAGTTTATTAAGAATGGAATTTTAATTTTTAGACAATTTCATTTAAAGTATCATTTCTTTACCTTGATATCAAATATATAACCTTGATATATATACATGAACAATTCTATTGATGTGTTTTCTAAAAGGTTAATCTTATTATATAACTTTTAATTCTTTACTGAGAACTTTTATTATGGACTGAGAAAAGGAGACTGTTTTCTTTCCTAGTAGAATCCTATATATTCAAGTATTAAGTACTTTAAAATATGTAACCTTCTTATGTTAGGTTATTGACTTAGGATTTTGGAAGTGATATCTTCAAAATTCTATTATTGCTTCTTCTTACAGTTTAAAGCTAATTTGATTGAATGACTTTGATCTTTCTGTGACTGTTATTTTTTTCTCTTATTAAAATTATAATGAATTTTGGTAGTATCTGAATAAAAACACTTTTGGCCTTTTTTTGGTTGTTGTTCCTATATCTTTTTTTTTAAATCAGTAGAAAGCTCTATTTGCCAGGCTGAATCATAAACTAACATTATGATGTAGGCTAAGTAAAAAGCTAATGTCAACTTTTTCTTTCAGATCTCTATAAAAATGGACTCCAAAGAGCTAACTTTGTACCATTCATAGCTGTCCTGAAGGTAAAAAAATCACTTACTTCTGTTCACTGACTAAGATCATATTGATTGATAATCAAGGACTTCAAGTAGAATTAATTTTGATTTTTAGATAGTAATAGTCAAATACACTAAAGGAGAAAAGAATCTTTTTTATATAATTCATCCATGTGTACACTGGAAAAATTATAAAATATAGTCTAAATTATTCTTTAACTGAAACATTTGATAGTTTGCATTTTATAAATTGCTCATAAATATTATAGTGGAATGTTTAAACTTATACATTTATTTTTGAAAAAAAATGTTTAATGTTCCCTGTTTCCTTCAGGTTAATGGCCATTATTAACATGTTTTCCCAGCTATTAAAGTTGCTATTCTAGAATAGCATTATTACAAAAATATTCTAATATATTTAAATGTGATTGCCATCAAGTTATCATGAAATTATGTCAAGTTGAGGCACATAAATAGTTTAAATATTTGTGTGTATCATCACTGCATAGAGTTTAAAATAGTCTTCATTACAATATGATTAAGAATAAAATAGCCTCCTTTTTTACTATTAATTTTAAGTAATTTTTTATGTGATTATTTAATAATTCCACATTCTACCAATATTTATTGAGAACCTACTATGTGTAAAGTGCCACATTAGGCATAATGGATAATGTAATTATGAAATAACCTGTTTCTTGCTTGCAAGTCATTTATAATCTAGTTGAGGATGTAAAATGTATATAAACATTTGTAACAGAAAGCAAAATATATAGTAAGTACCAAAAAGAAGCATAATTATGTGCCAAAATATAATTTCCATATTTTTGGTACATAATTTATCCTAGTTCCCTATCAACGTATCTGAAGAAAGGATAAAGTTTTTTTTCTTTAAAACAGAACTTCAAAAATTCTTACCAAGAAGGAGGAGTTAAAATATTTTATCTTCAGGTATTCTAAAGACATAGGCCGGGCGCGGTGGCTCACGCCTGTAATCCTAGAACTCTGGGAGGCCGAGGCGGGTGGATTGTTTGAGCTCAGGAGTT